ACCACCACCACCACCACCACCACCACCACCACCACCACCACCACCACCTTCACCACCACCACCACCACCACCACCACCACCACCACCACCACCACCACCACCACAAAATGTATTTTTCCGATGGTTTCCACCCAATTTTATATTTGTTTTTTTGGGACGTTATGGAATGACGCGCCCCCCTCCCATTCTATAGACCAGATCGATAAATGTAAGAACGTTGATGGCTTCCCAGCCATTTTGCATTATTAGGGGGGGGATGTGTCACCATGGCAATCTAAAGCGGGATGTCATTGCTTGTGAGAAACGTGGGGCTACAGCATTTTGCCACACTGGTGGCTTCGAACAAGTTTTTTGCAGTGCCGATGGTGCAGGGTCAATAAAGAATCGTGTCATTGCAACGCCAGGGCATTCAGTCAAAAGACGATGCTCCTGACAAGACGGTGTACAAGTTGAATGCCTCGCACTCAGGGCTTCTACTCTCGAGGTCATGGAGTTGTCGTTGCGATAGTGCAGGAATTGAAACGTATGTTCTAGTCACAAATTACTAATTGCGCAGGCCCATGTTCGAGCTTTTGAGAAAGCTGTGAAAAACAACGACAAGCCGGCCGCGCTTGAGGCCCGCGGGTCAAGCTTCTCCACAGCAGCTGTTTGTATTTCTGTTTGCGAGGCATTTAAGAAGTACCAGAATGACATGCCGCAAGGCTTGTCCAAAGAATGCTCTGTGACGTGCTTATCTTCTGGTCGCGAAGGCCTTGCCCGTTTCGACATCCATGACCCGGTCACATTTGAGGGACCCAAGTTCTGCCCTGAGCTGGGTTTAGCTGATTTGCGAACAGCCTCGCTTACTCTGAATTGGACACAGTTTGCCGCCATGGGCTGACGCATAGCTTGCGCTGGTCTAAGGGTGTGAGTGGGATGAGACTGAGTGCTATGGGCTTGCAAGTTGATCATTAGAAGTAAAAAAGAGTTTTCTGCGCAGTTTCAGCGCATGTTTCGCTTCGATGTAGCTCAGCCTTGACCATTCTTGTGTGGCTACACACGTCAAAAGAGATGAGCCCGCGCCATCGTTTTTGAGATTACTTGTTTGCTTGGTCTTTCAGGACTCACCCCACGTGCTATCTCGGCAGTTTCTGCGCAAGCTGTGATCCACAGAAGGAGTAGCTCAAATCGTGGCTGAAACATGGTCGTGGAGACGGCTGCAAAGCCGCCGGGCAAGGCCGTCAAACCAGGCAGCCGCTTGGGTGAGTTCTTCGTTTTTCACATTCATATGCTTGCAACCTGACATTCAGATGACCCGACCGTGGTCATTTCCAAAATGCTGTCGTGGCTTTTGCGTCATGGCATCAAGCACAAAAGTGTGACCTGGCAGCAAATTGTGTTCATTTGTTTGGAAGGCTTGGATTTGTATCTTGATGTTGTGCAACCTGCCGAGGTCGGTTTGAATTCGGAAAGTGCCGATGGGTGGGTCAAGGTGACTGATGTACTCGCTTCGGAATATTTCAAAGAGATCACGAAAGAGATCCTCATGAAGGCCAGACTAAGAGCCATGTTCCGGTCTGGAAGCTTTTTTTTTTGCCAAGCCTCAACAAGCAAAGTGTAAGGTCATTGTGGATTCCAATGCGCAGAAGCTTCGCCCCTCTCCTGAGCATGTTCATGCGGCTTGAAGAGTAAGCACATTCTACACTGAGGCTACCAGCTTTCTCCAGACTGCGTCTACATAAGAGCTTACAGCAGAGACGAGAAGAAGGCCATGACTTAAAGACTCCTTGGGCTGTCTTCTACCGGATGCTTTTTTTAGTGCGCCTCTTCCCTGACCGTTGATGCCGCAAAATGACATACAGTCCTCGCATGCTTGTGATCTGACTTGTGTGCGCGGCATGGAAGGCCTTCAAGGAAGGAGCAGCAAGCACTACAGCATCCGTGTCTGCTCCTCCGGAAAAGAAAGGTGAACCTTGTCCTGTTTCTCTGCAAGCTTGCCCTGCAGTCGCAGCTCTGTGAAAAAACCTCAGATGCCAGGCACGTTGCGTGGAGAAGCACCAGAATTTGTGCCTTCGTCAACCCCCATGCTTCCATCTATGCAAAATCCAGGACTTTGGCACGTAGGGCACTAGTTCTGCTGTTTTGGTCTGCCGAGCAAGACGCCTTCTCTTGCAATCTGGAAGGATATCCACCTTGGCCGCTGCTGTATCCACAAGCGGCCATGATGCTTGCTTCTCACAAAGTTTGCCTCCGTATGCGACGGCTTCTGCCAGAGCACGTTTCTGAGGCCCTACGTACCCGTCCAGGTCCAGCGCAAGGGCACCGGTGAAAAAGGTTGGATGGCGTCAGCTTGTCAGATATGTTTTTGCCTGTGTTGTTTGCTGTCGAGGAGGCGTGTTTCGTAGCTTATCTGAAAAAGCTTGCTGCACCTCGAGATCGTTTAACAAGTCTCGCGAGCCGAGGTGAATTGGGGAGAATAAAGTCTTTCTATGAAGACAAAGGCAGACCTCACTTGCATCAGTGATTCTTCTACGGAGCAGCCAGAACTTGGTGCACGCTAAGCCCTCAACCCCCAGTCATGTGGATAGGTTATGGTTTCATTGAGTGCCCAAGAGTCACTCAACAGTTTGGCCGCGATCTTTTTGTTCACAAGGCTGGGCTTTTGTGAGCATGCTGGAGCGTGTCGGGCAAAATCAAGCACCAGGCTCAGCTGAATGGCTTCAAGGTGGGAGATGAGGCCGGGCCACTGCTAGCATGCCACTGCTGGCATGCCACTGCTGGCATGTGAGCTTTAGATTATCATGGATGATGGGACGGATTTGCAGTCCGATTCAATGCAACCGGCGCAGGTTACTGTCACAGTGACCGTAAATGAGGCTTCCACGTGTGCAGCTCACAGCAGCGGTGAGGGGTGTTGGGACATTTGATGTAGCTGGATGGTAGCTTTGTTATCAAGCAGCCTCGCAGGCCGGATGGCCGCAGGCGCAGGACTTGCAATCTTCAACAGGCGCGTCACAGACGTGGGGGTGAGTCTGAATTCTTTGAGCCGCAAGTTGACATATCCGCAGGTCAGCAGCCTGCCAGCGCATCAAAAGGCAAGGGTAAGAGCAAGGACTTCATGGTGCTTGAATCTGGATGGGATTGGAACATGGGGCCTTATGATCGATTTTGAGGACAAAGGCAAAGACAAGGGAAAGGAAAAGGGAGAGGGCAAAGGCAAGGATGGCAAAGAAGCCAAGGAAGGCAAGGGCAAAGAAGGCAAGGGCAAGGATGGCAAGTCGAAGAGCAAGGGAAAGGACGGCAAGGGCAAGAGCAAGGACCTGGCTGGTGATGTTCAAGGTCACTGTGTTTTGTCATAGTGTTTTTGAGTTGCTCGGCTGGTTCAGCAACTGATGAAGTGAGACGAGCTTGCCCCAAAATCGACATGTAGGCCTAGATCTAAAAATCATTCTGGGAGGCAATATTTGGAAGGACCGCCAGGATAGAAAGGAGTAGTTTCCAGAATCCCAATCTTGACCCGCAAATGATAGGTGCCGCAATCGCATTGGTGTCTCATAAGAGCTGATGATTTGGAGAAAAACCGACACGCATTTGCCATGCTTCACGTCACCAAATCTTGTGTTTTGTGGCGGTCGCTTTCAACTTACTTAGAACTTCGGGATGAACAATGCGCTTGTCTGTACCGTGCTTTCCAGTGCTGAATCTGATAAACTTGGGCTACTGCATTCTCTTGGCATTGAGCACCTTGTAGCTTCTCCCCCCGGCCCTTTTTCAAGCGGGCCCCTTGAGCTAAGTATTTGCTTGTGCGCTTGATGGAAACGCGTAGCTGCAGCTGTGAATATCATTGTGATCACCCTTTCTGGCCCTTGCGAGTGATTGTATAAGTTGGCACCGGAGCCTTGGTTTCAGCGTTTGAAGAGCCATCCCCCAGATCTTTTCTATGGCAGGTCAAGACCAAGCTGGCACAGATGAAGATTATGACGGACGTTGGGTTCGATGCAGGGAGAGCATGCCGCTAGTGGGTGCTCGACTGCTTCAGCTTGGCATTGCGCTTCTTGCGACAGCACCTTCCTCCGCAGGAACGCTTCTGGCGAGGGGGTGTGCATAGACTGTGGTTATTCAGATCATTACCGGGCGGCAGAGCAGACACGGAGATACTTCCCGGCGGGATAGGAGCCATCGCCACCTTTGCTTCGCGGGCTGAATGCCACTGCTCAGGTACCTCTGCAGCCATCTTCTGAGCTGCCTATGGCGACGTCGCCTTCGGGACGGACGGCCACAGCCTCCAGGAACGCGCGCAGGCGGAGACGTAGACGACGGGGAGGACAACCCGATTCTGACGGAGACTCGGGAGAGAGAGCGGAGTCGGAGGCTCTGACACGCGATGCCATTGTCACTCTGAGCGACGCCCATCCTCCTCGGCAGGATCTTCCGGTTCCTGGACCTGATCTGGAAGGTCCTCTTCTACATGCACCCCCGGGCGTCCATGTCATGCGCGATCCAGGACTACCTGGCGGGCAAGCAGTTCTTCGCTATGGCGCGGCGGTGTCTTTGGCCACATCGAGAAAGGGCTCTTCTTCGAGCGTGTCTTGGACAAGCAACCTCCGGTTGAAGTGGCGTGGGGGTGCAGTTCCAATACCCCCCAAGTGGTCGTACGAGAAATACGACCTAAGGGCTTTCAGCAAGTTTGGGCGCAAGGTCCGTCTCTGGCAACTGCAGGTCGCGTTTTACATGTCTACTTACGAAGCTGCCTTGACTTTGTACTCTTCCTTGACAGGAGAACCCGAGGCGGAGTTAGCGCAGGCTCCGCTGAACAAGATCGATGATCCCAACGGCGTGGAGTACATACTGGAGCAGCTTCGCACTCCAAGGGCCCAAAAGCTCGTTGTTCAGAAGCGCCGCTACTTGGCCGAGTGCGAGGCGATTTTCAGGTGTCCTGGAGAGCAGCTTGGCAGTTCGTTAATCGATGCAGGCGGGCTGAGAGGAACCTTGCTGCAGTTGGGGTCGACGTCATGGGCGTGTGTGATGGAGGATCTCGAGGCAACCATCTTCTGGAACGCGCTCGGCTCGGACCTGCTGATCAGATCTTGGCTGGTTCCCGCTATTCATTGACCTTTGACGACATCGCAGAGTCCCTGCTGATGCAGTTTCCTGAGTTTAAGGCTGTGGAACGCATAGGCGAAAACCCCAGAAGAGTGTTACCCCGAAGGACCCCGTACAGGTGAGCCCTTCCGCTTGCTTCGCCTTGATTGGCTTTGCGTGGCAGCGGAGCCGTGGTGACGACCAGGGCCGCTACTTCTTCGGGCGCCCCGCTGCTCCCATGATCTTCTGGGCGCTTCGCTGCTGCCTCGACTTCCCTTCAGGCGATCGACTTCCGCGACCTGACGACAACCCTGACTTCCGGGACGGAATGCTGCGACCTCACCTTGTACATTTTCGTGATCTGCCTGCTTTTGGTGGCGCTGGCCTGCTGGCCTTAGACTTTTTGAGAACCAGTCGTTGGGCGGGGCGGCTGTGACTTTGGCAATCGCAAGTTTTGGAAGGCCATCGGGGGTGACTGGGGGTGACTGCGCAGGATGGCTACGGATGAGGAGCGGGTGCAACGCTCTGGTACAGGTGACTTTGGGGCGGCTTTGCCTGTGAGACCGAGGTCACCGAGCGGAACCGCACCTATGGGAGGCGTGAACGTGCACGTTGACTACTGCCTTGCTGAGGCTCACTGGTTGATTGGCGCGGTGGAGCGACGGAACGCCGTCCTTCGAAGTATTCTGGAGAAGCTCATCTCCGATTGCGCTGCTTTTGACCGTTGACGACCTCGACTACCTCATCTCGATGAACAGCTACATCACCACAAAGATAAGAAGTCCGTTTCAGGCAGTGTTTGGACGCGTGCCACAGTCGGGCCACAGTTTCCAGGAGGACTCTTCACTGACGGCGCCTCGCTGGCGTCTTCACCCTTGGCGAAGTGTTGCAGCGTTTGGCTGCAATGAGTGTAGACAAGGTCCTGCGCAGAGCCCTTTTGAGGAAGACGCGCAATACGCGCGCCCCGCAACTTGAGCCAGGCCAGAAGTGCTCCTTTTTGGAGGTGGAGCAAGCTCGGCCCGCAAAAGAAGAGCATGGACGACTGGCGAGATTTTTGGCTTGGGGTCCACAGTGCCCAGGCAAACAGGCTTGGCTGCGTAGTGGGAACTCTACGACTCTCGCGGCGACTGAACTGCCGGAAGCAATTGGATGGAGTGGCGACGAGCAGGGCGCGGCGGCTCTCAAGGATGCCATGGTTGACCTGAAGGACTCGGTCTGGAGTGACGAACGAGGGCATCCGCCCGCCAACGACCATATCGAGGAGGACGATGAGCGCTGCGACTACCGCCGTCCTTCCTTGCCACCGACGCCTGCTGCCGTGATACCGATATAGAGCCTCAGCAGCCTTCAACTCCTGCCTGGCAATTTCCTCAACTACCTTCAGCAGGCAACGCAAACCTACTGCCAGCAGTTTCTGCGCCAGCAAAGGTTCGACGACCCAGCTGGAGAGAACCGCAATCCGGCTATGCCAGGAGTCCCAGGACTCCGAGAAGAGTGAGTGCGAGGTCTCGAACACCAAATCGTCCTCTACCTCCTTGTTGGGGCCTACTTCTCAGCAGCTACCTGTGCGACAGGGCGACGGACTACTTGCTCTACAAGGTTGTGGACTTCCCGAAGACAGTGCTCAGTACGAGAGCGCGGCTCACGATAGTGCGATCTTTGAGGACCCTGTCGTTACCAAGAGCATCACGACCACGAAGCCAAGGAGTACCAGGTCAAGCTTCAGCAACTCTTGCCGCTCAACCTCAGAAGTTCCAGCAGAAACTCAAGCGCTACCGCCTGGCTGCTTCAGCTTCAGTACCTAGTCCTACAGAAGAAGTTCCGGGCTCAGACGCAGTGTCTCAGCCTTCACTCGGTACCGCTCCACTGGCGCCCTTTCAACCACTACCGCAAAGAGGCCTTTGGACTCCTTGACTATATGTTTCTCTACGACGACCGCGACTTGGTGAGGGTGAGACGGGCGACGACTGCAACACAGGCGTCTACGGCCCTAAGAGCAACGCCTTCTACAAGGCCTACCTCGCGAGTGAGTACCGCAAGGACGACGTGCCTGTGGACAAGCCTCCCCTCGAGTCCGACACGAGTGACAACCGACCGCAAGAGGCCTTCTCCGAGCAAGTGTCCTAGCTCTCGCTAACTGTCCAGGAAAGTATTCAAACAATTTGATCGCAAAGTACCATGGACACGCGAAATCCGTGGTCCTCATGTTCCTGCCTATCTTCAGGCGATCGACAATAAGGCAAAATCCACGCACGAGCAGGCCAAACAAGTCCTTAACGACAAGATATTGGCAAAACGCGCCCTGCGTACGAGAGCTTGTTACAGAGACAAGGCTCGCGGACAGGGTCACATCCGCGCGAAATGCCGCATCGTCTGCCTTGGGCATCGTGACCTGGGCCTTTTCTCGCTTAACAGACAAACGCCCGCGCCGAATCAGGCTTCTGAGCGCATCGTGTGCCGCATGATTGTTGCGGGCGCCAACGCAGAGATTGAGGACTCTGGCTTGACTTGGCAAACCTGGTCTGGTGACACCAGCGCAGCGTTCCTTCAGGGCAAGCACAAGGAGCGCACGCTCCCCTTGTTTCTGCGTCCTCCATCAGACGGTTTGATCGCCAGACACCTCACTGGAGGGCTCCCCTTTACAAGGTTTGCTCCAACATTTACAGACTTGCTGATGCTCCACGAGTTTGGGCGCTTGAAGTGATTTCTCGTCTTCGTCAGCTTGACTTGACTACGTCCAACACAGCTTCGACAAGATGATCTTCATCAAGCGCTCTTCTACGGGCAAGGTCATCAGCATAATGCTGGTCTACGCGGACGACTTCCTCGGCATCTACCGCACGGACTACAACCTCCCTGAGCACAATTAAAAGCTTCTTGAGCCATTTGTGCGACTCGGCTAGTAGCGCAGCGCTCATCTTCGTGAGCCCATCAGCCCTCATCAGCTGGGTCGGCGCCCAGTGCAGCTGATTAGGGGCAAGAACTTCCTGCGCCGCTCTGACGTTGACCAAGCTACGCTTGTCCGCAAGGTTCGGGCTCTCAGAAACAAGATTGTCATAGAGAGACTTAGCGTCTGTGGTGCGCAGGTACTGAAAGAGGGGCTCTGCACAGTGAGCAGGCGTTCCGGTCAAGACCTCGGTGAAGAAGAGGTTCAGGAACACAGCGCAGTCCACCGCCTCATCTGCAGCCATCGCTTCTGCGGCCAAAGGACTACGAGCCACACGTGCTGACTTGCCAAACTTCCAATCGAGAAGTGGTCCCATGCAAGGAACTTGTGATACCTGAGGTACCGTCGCAACGAGGAGCACACCAAACTGTGAGCGAAGCTCCGGCGTGTTGGCCCGGCTAGCATCAGCGAAGGAAAGAAAAGTGGCAGTTGAGTTCAGTGAAACGACAGGTAGAAAGTCCAAAGCCAGCTGTGTCCTTTGCGAATCAAGGGCCGAGTAGGGGCTCTGAAGGTCACCGTAGGTGGTCTCAGAGCCGCGGTTGGACAAGGAAACGTACGGAAAAAGGTTCCGGTCTTAACTGTCCGCAAAGCCATTGCAAACACCCAGCAACTTTATGGAATTCTTCGCGATGTTCGTCATTCAGTTTGTCTTGAAGTTGGGGTCCACGCCTCGGCTTCCCAGTATCTAGCCCATCGAGGAATGTCTCCTGAGTGATCCAGAGCTGGTAGCGCGTGGCGTCGCCAAGCTTGGGAATCAACAGCAGTTCCTTGCAGCCTTGACGAGCTCGAGCAGCTCAAGACTTCTTGACCTCCCTGCACTCAATGCATTCAATGCCAACAAAGCTCTTAACCTGTGATTAACTTGGGCTACTGCATCCTCTTGGCATTGAGCACCTTGTAGCTTCTCCACCGCGGCCCTTTGTCAAGCGGACCCCTTGAGCGAAGTATTTGCTTGTGCGTTTGATGGAAAAACCGTAGCTTCACGCCTTCCTGGCCTTCGCGAGTGATTGCATAAGAGAATCTGTCCCTCGCAAGTGAAGGACAAGAAGAAAAAAGATGAGAATCAAGCAGAAGAAGCCCAAGAAGAGGCATGTGAAACGCATTGCATGTGCGCATGCAATCTTATTCATCTTGCGTATCATGGCTTTGCTTGACACAACCATTCTGCAGTTTTCCGTTTTCTCGGGGTGACATGCCACTCAGTCTCGTGTCTTCGAGGATTCAGTTTTCACAAGTCAACATCGGATTCATTGGCCATCGCAGTTTGGATGGCAATTTCAACTGGAATTTGCAGGCAGTAAGCTGGATTGGTTGAAGTTTTGTAGTTGTATGACCAAATCCACCAGACCTTGCCGACTTGCTGCAGGAGCGGTAGCTGTCCGGACAGCAGTGATGCTTGCACATGTCCATAGTGTTTTTATAGACCAGAAAGCAAGCTCAAAGCTGGTTCGCTGACATATAGATCATTTAGTGGTACGAGGAACGCACGTGGAACATGAGTTAAATGTTGTGGAATTTTGCTCAGCCTTTCTGATCACCATGGCCAGCCTACGGCCAGATGCTGCCAGCCTGGCCAGCCCAAAACCTCCGGCATCCTCCGGCCTCTGGCAGTCTGATCTGTCTCACCCTCTAAGGAGACTGGGAAACTGTTTGAAGTCTTCACAGGATTTCTTTCTCTGAGGCATCACCCAAAAATTCTCGGTGTAGAAATGGTAACTCACTCGTTGGTCGCTGCAGAGATTGCAACAGACCTCCAGATGCACTGCCTACATTTGCAGTTGCTGCGTCCACCAGCCCACGGCAGTCATGTGTGCTGGGAAGGTAAGGCAAGACCGGGTACCCTGGTTGCCGTGAGAGACACCTTTAAGTGTTGTGGATGATCTTTGCCACGCACGTGACATTTCTGTGGTGGTGGAGCCTCGATTGATTCATGAAAGCAGCTGCGGGCTGCTTGAAAGCCGCCCCAGGCTACAGCAGGCGTTTATTTAGCTACACACACACACAAATGACACTATAGCGTGCACAAGTCATTAGACTGTCTCAAGACATCATGACTTCTTGGCTGTGGCTTCTTTACTCGGGTCTTCAAGAAGAGACGCCCCTTCTAAGTCGAACTTTGCCCGAAGCAGTTATGGGCCTAATGTTGTCATCGTGGCAAAGCGGCCGTATGAATACAAACTGAGGGCGGCGTCACAGTTTTCTTGGCAAAGGCAGTCTCCATGATGGATTGAACGCAGGAGACAAAAGTCCTGGCACAAAGCCACACACATACCATTGGCTCGTCGCTAATTGCGAACTCTTGCGTCGCAATCTGACACATGCAGCTGCCTAAGTGTATTTGAAGTAAGCTGACAGCATGCTGACGCAAGGAATCGAGATGATGATTGAAAAGAGGGAGGGTGTGCATGGGATCAGATGTGGTTTGAAGTGAATCCAACAGCTGATTCTTTAGCAAATAGAAGTCTCATACCAGTTTCGCCAACCGTGCAACAAGAATCATTTCTTTGTATTTGTCCTTGTTCTTTACGAAGTCGTTTGCGGGCTCAGATACTCAGCATTGCATGGTCACTCGGTCACTCTGTGGCATTAATTGCAGTGGGCAGCCAGTGGCAAGGCCGACGCATGGATGTGCATTTCGATTCCCTCAAATGTCCACGATGCCCGAGGCTTGTTGTCCTTGTTCCCATAGCTGCCATAGAAGTTGCTGCAGCTCAACTTGAGGTGTCTGAGTTGCGCGTAAACATTTACAGCTTAGCCTCTTTTTTTGGCGAACGTGGAAGACTGCCTAGCCCTAGCCCTGGAATGTGTCAGCAGGCAGAGATCATGGTGCTTACTCTTGATGATGTTTGGCAAGGCTTCACTTAGGAATTTTTAAGGCACGGTTTTCAGCAGTCTTCAACAGTCGAAGAGTCACTCGTCCACAAAGCAGTAGGGCAATCACATTTGACATGGTTTCTTGTGCCCAAGGCCAGCTTGTGAGCTATCTCGTGCTTGGTCTGATACGAGCTGGTGCAAATGCTACACGCTGGCGAGCTCCAATTTGCTGAACAATCACGATGAGCTGTTATCCAGTGGAGAGGATGTTTGACCATTCTCCCTTGGTCCACTGCCAAGTTCAAGAGTGGACGGGCAGCATGCTCCGTGGGCTGGCTGATGGATGCCAGCTTAATGTGCATTGCCAGGTTGAAGGGAGCGTCGGGAGCGTCGGCAGCATTGATCAGCAGGCTGGTGAGGCAGACAGGATGGGCAGAAGGTCTTGCGCTGGCCGTCCGCCAACTCCGCCAACTCGATGAGGCCTTCCTCGCCAGTCCGCAAACTCGGCTGCAGCGGTTGCAGGTCCTGTCTGCCGCCATGAGCGCAATTTCCCAGTCGGCGGCCTGGAACAAAGCACTGGCCTTGCTCTGGCATGAGCATCATGACTGCCGAGTGCAACGGGTGCAACCAGATCTCTTCATCTACAATGCCACTGCTGCCGCCTGCGGTCGGGCTTCTCGATGGCAATGGGCTTTGCACTTGCTGGAGCATACGCGACTCGTCCGACTTGAAGTTGACTCAACAAGCCTCAACATTTTGATTAGTGCCTGTGGTCGTGCATTTGAATGGAAACTTGCATTGGCTTTTGCGACCGGTGCCTGCAAGTTGAAGGGGCAAGTACAGCCGAATGTGTTTGGTGAGGCCAAGGGGATTGGCGCAGCCCTTCATGCACTAGGGCAGACCGGGAATTTTCGACTAGCCGTGGCATTGCTGCATGAGATGCAGTCCCGTCAAGCATCTTTGAGCATCGGATGCTTTAATGCAGTAATTTCAGCTTCTGTGCGCAGTGGGCACTGGGTACATGCAGCACAATGCTTGCAATCCATCGGGCAGCTTCGGTTAGTGCCTACATCAATCACAAGGAGTGCGGTCATCTGCCTTTTTGGTCGTGCTGGCCTTTGGCAGCTTTCGCTTGCTGCCTTGGGGATTTTTCATAGCTCGGCTTCCGAGCCCTTCAAAGGACCTGCTCGAAGCATTAGCATGGAAGCTAACCTCACAGTTCTGAACTCGTCTCTCAGTGCCTGCGGACGTGCAGCCCGATGGGAACTTGCAGACTTTTTGCTGGAAGCAATGCCCAGCATGGGCCTAGTTGCTGACTCATTGAGCGTTGCGGCCGTGGTCTCTGCTTACGCTGCTGTGTGGAGGTGGGAGCACGCCTTGAAGCTTTGCCTGAAGGCCCCGAACACTTCCAGCATGGCTCTGCAAGCAGCAGCCGCTTCGATGCACTCTATGCACAAGAGCCAGGCACGATATTTGACACAGCGCTGGCTGCTCCGATTGACAACAAAGCTAAAGTATCGGAAGCCCGTGGCCGAAGAAGAGTTTGGAGCTGCCTTGTTAGCGTCAGATCTCTTCAGCCAGTCATACGAATTACAAAGCTTCACGCGACTTCATCACCGGCGTGTTGCTACACCTCCGTCTCAATGTCTGCAGAAACTCCGAACCAACCAACATTTTGCCAAAGATAGCAGGCAAACCCGAAGAACTTTTGATCTTTTGGAGTTGGTTTACGACCTAGGGCCAGAACTTTCTAAGATTGCTTTGGAGATGAATGCTGCGAAGCGCAGCTTGCGATTCACAGAAAAAATGAAAGTGCGACAACATCCCTATGTGAAACATCTTGCTTGAGATGTGTGACTGTGAGCTAGAAGCCTGTGTTCTGTTTGCCCGACTCCTGTTTCTGTTTGCCTCGCTGGGTGCAAGTGCGGATTCCAAGCTGTATCATGGACTCAGCTGGATACCGATCATTACCGATCTAGGAGTACATGATCACAGTCTCAGTCACAGAGGAATGTATCCCGTATGCTGAGGCTGCATTTTGATATTGCTGTGTGACGCATGTTGTCATTTCATGCCATCACGAGTCTTGCAGTAGCAAAACATCCTTGTTTAGCTTTGTTGTTTGAAGCCATGCCTGCAATGCCAGGGTCAGATGCTTGGTGGCCAGCAGGTGAATGCGAGTGGAAGGTGAAGGATTTGTGCAGCGGAAACAACCACTCCAAAGATGCAAACGTGGCTTGCTGGATCATGTCTGCAAGTCTAGATCCCAAGCTGGCAGAAGCTTTTCCGGTTTATCGAAAGCTCACATCCGGTGTCTTGCCACGTGAAAAAGATTCTGCCAGAGAGGGTGCCGACACGAACATTCAAGATACTCGAAGAGAGGCGTCAAGCGTGGCTGCGGAGCCCCACCTATGTAAGTCCAAAATCAAGCGTGCTTGCAAGTTCATGGAGAAATGCAGAGACGTGTCTGTGTGCGACTACTGCCACGATGAAGCACATCTCGTGGTCACCAAGCCAAGGTCTGGCCATGTTTGTCGGTCACTAATACCACAACCTTGTTAATTCATGCTGAGATGTCGCATCGCCAGCAAGTGTGCCTACTGCCATGATGAAACCGGGCACAGGCCTGCGAGGCGGCCACGAAGACTCCTGGACACTGTGGTGCGTGCTTAGACGCCAGGATAGCTGCGGAGTTCGGCAGGACGCCTTAGCTGATTCACCCGGGATCGACTCAGACCACGCAGGAGACAGTGCCGAGCAGAAAGGTCTGCTGTCAAGTTGAACATGCTAGCTGCTAGCTGCAGCTTCTGGGCAGTTCAGCAACAAACCTTTTGCTCCACTGGCCCGGCAAGACCAAGCTTTTGCACAGCATTGCTGTATTATTCATTACGCCATCAGCCATTTGTGCACCATGAAGTTTCAGCTGCCCCGAGATATCAGACTTCATAAGAACACTTGCGCGATCGTCCCGTCACGTCACATCAGCTGCCTGCAGAGAGTTGAGTGCGACTGCGTGAACTGCCATTCAGCGGCATGGAAGATTCGACTGATTGTGGCCGTTTGCAGTTTTCAGTGTTGCATGCAGTTTACTTTCCCTTCTAAACTTCAACTCAAGCAGCGCACTCTTCATAATCACAATGATCAGAATGCAAAGGCGCAAAGCCGTCAAATTGTGAATGGTTCGTCAGGAGGTCCCTCTAGTGAAGCATCCATGATGCAAAATAGCATTGTCATTCCCAGCTCATAGCAATGATGGAGACCTCATCTCCATCTGCAGGTGCGACCAGTGCTGCCTAGCTTTGCATGATCCTTCATTTAGATGACCGTCTATTGTGTAGCGAGATGGGGCTTCACTTTGCAGAGGTCGGGAGAGGAACTGGGCGGGGGCACTTGCCTTGCCAGTGCAAGCGATGGAGGGCACTTGTGTTTCACTTAGCTGGGTGACGGAACATGGGCCATTGTTCTCGGGGTCTGGGTAAAGAGAGGCAGCACTGATAGGCCAAGTGTGAGATATGATGCACGACCGAGACCTGTGTCAGCAGTTTTCCGAAGAAACGCAGGAACCCTGGAACACAACGATGCGTCCGACCCATCCTTTCTCCTCAACATTGCTGTTGCAACAGATAGCAGCTTGATAATTTTCATGATAAGTGGTAGGTGCTTGTAGGAAGGTTCGATGCATGATGGGCACGATTCTTCTTTCCTTCTTATTTCCCATCATCTTTGTCTGCCTGTACTCATACTCATGCGTCCCTACCAAGACAGCCGTCAACAGTCTCCCAAATCGAGAACAACTGACTTCCTGTCGCAGGACACTCTGAAGAACAGGGGCAGCCTCATTATTCTTCAAAATGTAGGATTCCACGCTGTTTGGCAGTTGTGCTGCTGCTCCTCCCTTTCCCCGTGCTTTCCTGCGCCTGCGAAACTTATTTGAACAAATGAACAGAGCACCCCATGCCTGCCCTTTTTTATTTCGAGAAACCCTTGAAAGAAGACTCCTGCTCGCTCCTGTATGAAGCCATCCCGTGCTGAAGGCACTGATGAAGTGTTGGAAGCCACAGGAACCTTGGAATCTCTGCAAAGCTCAGTGCTCAAAATGAATCCCTAACTGTGAATGGGAGGGAGTTTTCTGGAACTGAGGTACGGTAGCATGTTGACGTTACACAAGTAGCGGTACCCATCCCGATACAGGCTCGCATATGGCAGAGTCCTTCCTGAACAACGTTCTGCACGAAGATGCTTGGAAGCCTACATAGTGCTACGAACGTTTCATTGGCTTTCATGCTGGTGTAGGTCCGTTCCTATGTCAGGTGGCTGTTATGTGACTCCATCAACCCCACCAACTCCTAACTTCAAAGCAAGCCTTCTGTTCAATCTTCCTCTGACTTTGTGATTTCATATCAAGGCATTCTTGCATAGGCAGGCTGGTTTAGGTGGTGACTTGGAGACATCTTTTTTATTTTCCATGGGACGCGGCAGTTCAAATCAGGAGTCAATTTGCTGTTTTTGCCACTCCAAGGCCTCGAAGCAAAGACAGATGAACCATGCGCTGGCATCTCAAGACGGTCCCGTACTTGTACTTCTTGCGATGGCGGTCACTCGCGGCTGCAGGCCTGATCAGGAGAAGCGCACGCTGGAAGACAGGTTGCCTTGACCGATGGCAGTATGCGACTGCACACATGTCACACAATTCAAATTGCACATGATTTCCTCGCATTGTCAGGCCTGCCTATGCATTCTTGCAAAACTGCCGCCAACAAACTCTTGATGGTCTCGCAGGCCATGCGCGTTGCAGCCATTTCGATCTTATTCCTCGCAATCTTAAGTGAATCTTAAGAATGTTGGCGACCAGGCTTCTTTCGGGACCCAGGAGACAGAATGGGCCAAGAACTTAGTGTTGCTGAGAGACCCAGGCAGTGCAGCAAAGATGCCATGTTGTCTTGAGGCGAGATTTTGGAATTGACGCCGGCGGAGGTGAAGCCGTGTGCGCATGGGACAGAAAATGAGGTGCCCACGACACATTCCTGAAGTTGGCAAAGAGTTGGGGCGTCCATGGTTGGATCCTCGCTTAATGATCTCACAGGAGGATGACTCGCACAAGATTGGGGAACTTCCAAGCACTGCAATATGTGGCAATGACATCACTGCCAGTTGTGCTTGTCTCAGCATTTGACTGCCCGGGTATGTAAGCATGTTGCAGCAGCTGGCAAACCAGGCTTCTACGTTATTGGTGAGCTCTCCAAGAATGCTGGCGTGCAACTCATGCATGTCTTGAAGATTTCTACTGTACTGCTAGAATCCTGCTAGCTCCAAAGCTCAAGCCTGGATGAAGTGCAAGTTGCCTGTGTATTCACCTGCGTCGTAGTTGTGGGGCTCAAGAAGCCCTGCTGATGATTTTCAGAAGCAGGTGCAAGGAACTAACATGGAACTGCTAGAGCAATGCAGGAATTGATAACACCATCTTGAGATGTGTCCCTGCCTTCCTTGCTCTTGGCGGCTTATGCATTTGGCCACGTTTTCGCTTCTTGATGCATGCTGCTCTCGGCTTTCTGCATGCTCAGTGCTACTTTGCGTATTCTGCTTTCGGTATCTTTCGGTTGTTGTGTTCCGCATTCTTGCGTTCAATGTGAAGTGTTGCTTCTGCTTTGAGCTTTCTGTTTAGCTTGCTCCATTTCTGATTGTGAGCTTTTGTCGATGCTCTCCGGTTCGTGCTTTCCCAGAACCCCTCTCATTATTCGGACAGACGTCAAAAGACTGTCAGCCATGCCGAGGCCAAACAAAGCAACACAGGAACGAAACAGTCGCCCCAGTATCGCCCGTGTAGCCAAGCAGCGTTGTGCCACAGCTGTGATTGCTGACGACAGTTAAACTGCAGGGCTGTGACTAGAGTCCCTATCAGAGCCTCCATTACTTGCCTTGCTGGTGTGAGTACAACTTATGATTTTCAACTAGCATACGAAAGCTTCTGTTGCTGCTGTGAAGCACGCTCATTGGCTAGTGAAGATCCCGTAGAAGCTTGCATTAGATGTCAGCAACGCTTTATTACACACTTCTGGCGATGGTTTCTTTTGGATATCTACTTCCCTTACAATTAGAGCTTCTAAAAGTTTGAGTATAGTCACTATTGCTAGTGAAGCGCATGTTTTAGGTTGCTTTTCGAGCGTTTACCATCGCATCAGATCTTCAAACCACGGCACCGGTCTTAAAGCTCAGCAGGCTTGGATTAAATGCGTTGCCAATAGCTCACGCATGAGAGCTGGTTTCTTGCAATCAAGCCAGACAGATGGCACACCTGCGGTTGCTTTGCCTGTGTCCCCGTCTCGCAGCATTGGACAAGCTTTCGCATGGTAAGCAACCTTTGCTAGCGATGGCTGCGCATGGGGAGAAGAAGTTGAAACGTCGCGTTCACCGACAGTTTTACAGTTTGGAAGCGCGAGAGCTCCAGAATCACACCCAGATGTACGATTGTCTGCAGTCCACAGAGAAACCCTTTGCAAGGCCTTCCAGCACGATTAGAAACTTCATACTCCCATCCTCCTGTTTCTGCATCTCTTGGTGGCATTGCGAAACTGCCGCAACATGATGTTGCAGACGGGTTGTTTGCCAGGTATTCACCTGTTTGTACCATTTTGTCTTCCCTGACATTGTACTGCTTCCGCAGCGTCTACGGCGAGGCATGTGGAAGAAGCCTTGGGTGCTTCATGCAGTTGTGGCAAATGGCCTTTTCTGGATGGTGCAAGTGAATTTTTGCACAAACCCCTAAGCTGCTACACCCTAGTGGCTTGTTTCAGATGTCCAGCAGCAGCAGGACATCGTTTGTGCACTGGAGACCGTAGGAGGCTATGCCCAGCTGTTGTGTTATTTTGCACTAGAAAAAGTGCAGGATTGTTAGCTAGGCTGGCAACCAGCTGTTCTTCACAGCTTGTCTCCGGGGAGGGTTTGAGAGGTGAGCAGAGAACTACATGGAAGTGCTCCCACTAGCGTCGACACACTTGTTTTGAATGGTTAAAAAGCACGATCCTTCGATCTGAATGCCAGGTGTTTCTGTTACAGGGAGTGACATACACTTGGACAGTCTTCAATTCTGTCGCCTCAAGCTGCACCTGCTTTCCGCAAATAGATCTTCAGGCTCTAGGTAGGCCGGGGAGTCACTGCAGACGTCGGACAGGTCGTGACAGCCCTGCCCCTCAATGGAGGGATCTACAATCTTCTGCTGAATTCATCCACCAAACAGTTGGAAGCTGAGAGTTTTGAACATGGCCATCAGCGGCCCTATAGCATGAGCTCTTCACGAGGACCGCATCTGTTGCAGCCTGTCTCACCATCCTGTCGTGCTGAGCTCAGTATTGCTGACAAACTGAAGTTTGTGGAGTCTTGCGAACATCATGCTCATCAAAAATATCAGAATCGTGGTGCCCAGTATTTCGCTCCAAGGTACACAGCCACCGGGGTGGTTTCTTCAGTCAGTGCAGCAGATTACCTGAAGTGCTCGCCGATGTTTGCCTCAATTGAAAGCGCTTGCACCTGAGCAGTTCCGACTGCCTGCGGAGAGATCGGACTGAAGAAGCTCTGTTTCGCAGCAGTCAAGGTGCCTACGGCTATTTGCATCCTGGGCTTTTTTGCCGGATGCATGCTGATGGGAATGCAGGTGAAAGTGGCCCACTAGGTGCACGCCAATCACAATCACTATGCATCGGCAAGGAGAGCTCAGCCGTGGCTTCGATGCTTTTCGTCTTTCATCTGCTTGGCCCTCAGTGAAGCTTACAGTTGGGTCAAGAGCCAGGACAGGTATGAAAGCAGTTTCCATCCCTGGATTTGAGAAGCCTAGCTACAAAGCCTTGCAGGCGCATTACAAGCACGTCTTGATGCGATCAATGCATGCCCGGTGATTTCATGAAAGCGAGAACTGCCCCTCGCCACAGCTCTGACATGCCTAAGCCCCAAGCCAGTTTGCACAGGCAGGTCGTGTGATTCAGTTAAGTTCGGGTCAGATCCGTGCTTTGGGGGTTTGCTCCTGCTAGCTGCTTGGGAATTGGGAGACACGTAAGTCGCCACTAGGCCAGATAGGGGACCAGTATCAAGTCATTCGCTCTTGAGGCACTTACGAGATAGGTGCATGGCTCTGAAACCTTTGTCGAACGGATAGTAAGGGGCTGTTTTGGTCGATAGTCGATCCTGTAACCTGTCGTAAAATCTAGCCATCCTGTAGCACAAGCAGGGCAATGAACTGGTGCCCTGAACTCGAGCTCTTCGTAGTTGAGTCTGCAGGTCCGTCCTATTCGTTCTTGGGACGTTCTGCGTCATCTTCTTGCAGGATCTGAGTTTCGTGAAATACCGGGTCCGATAAGCCCCCCCCCAACGCTTTGACTGTCTCGACTGAACTTTGCAGGATGCAGGGCTGGGTCAGCTGTACGACAACCTGATTTGGGAGAGGTGCCTGCTATTGCTAGATATTGCTCGCTGCTTGCAGCATGCGCTTGTTTTGAGGATCCTTTTGTGAGAGGCAGCCACCTTTCTGGAGCTCCATCTTCTTTGGCTTCTCCTCAGCAATGCTTGGAGTCTCCGGCATGATCCTCAGTACATTGAATCCATCTGTGGATGTGTTTCTCAAGTCATTGGCACGCCCCTGAAGAGGTTTCGAAACATCTGCCAATTTCGTCGAAGAGCAGAAGCCAGGAGTGGAACTGTCCCTTCAACGCGGCACTGTGTTGTGCCTTGAAGCTGATTATGCTGTCAAGGCGTGTTCCCAAAAACGCTGAGAAATATGTGGATGAGTGTCTCGGTGATCAACGTTCTTCTGCCCAGCCTTGCTGTGGAGCCGACCTCAATGGTTCTGTGTTGAGGTGGCCAGGTTGCCAGCCTTCAGGCCTGTTCGAGCTTTATTACGCTTTGGCTGAGGCTGTGCTTCCTTTGGATGACTTGACGGGTGGGAAGCTGGGCCATGTGCATCAGTTCATAGCAAATCCAAATTGCGTTGGGGTGTCTGAGGTGAGAGATCTGGATACGCCTTGGCATATCTTGCAGAACGCGTGCTTCTCCAAGAGCGGTTATGAACGGCTTTGGTCTTGCTGCAGCTGAACACAGACTTGCGCATACTTACGGAGGTTGCTGGACCTTTCTTGCGCGACGTTGTTGCAATTGATGCTTGATCCTCGGTTTGATGCAATTGTCAGCTCCTTGCAGTCGCAGGGGCAGTCAACAGCATGAGGCACTTCTTGTGCTTGCTGGATCCGTTCTGACTAGCTACGTGGGAGCCTGGGCCTTAGATTTTCTGCCCTGGTGTTCAGAATAACAAATGACTTGCACGAGGTGGTTGGACTGTTTCAGAGAATGGCTGGAGACAGGCGATGTGAGAATGTGACGGCTCCATTTTTTGACTAAACTAACATTGATAGGGTTGAAGGCACAATGACAGTCCAGAGAGGGTAGAGCAACTTAGCTGCAGGTGTCTGCCGGAGTTTTTCAGCGAGACAAATTCTTGGAGGAACACCCCGCCACGGTCATAGAATCTGAGATGAGTCAAGACTGTCCAATAAAGCTGACAGTAGTTGACAGCTTCCCAGGCACTATACCATTCTGGTCTTCTTTGCTGTATGCTCGTCAATGTGTGTCATGCTGAACGGTGACATCACCTTGCCCCTGCCTTGATTTCAATTCTATCTTCACAAGCCGCCTATTGCTTGATCATCTTAGGCTAGCCGCCATCTACTCCATCTCCTTCCTGCTCGTCATGGGTTTGTTTGCCTTCTGTGGACTCTGGCTCAAAATCAATCGGCCAACTTTGCTGGAGCCCTGGATGTTGTCTGGATGTCGCGACTCCCTGTCGCGACAATTCTGCGCTAAACGCCCCAACCCAGCCGACACAGTGGCCAGGCCGCGCGTCATCAATGCCCATCCAGCTTTCTTCGTGCGAAGCTCAGGGCACTCAGCAATATCAGCTGGCTGCAACTCAAAGGTCAGATATTCATGCGATTCTGTTCTCCGGCGAGCATGCTGAAGTCACAGAGTCTTCACACTCAACACTACTTTGAGTATGCTCAATGGATGGCTGTCTGGGCTAGCTACCATTCCATTGGTCTGTTGCACCTCCCTTACCCTTTGCAGTACGTAGCTGGCAGCCAGACGCGGATCCTGTTGCTGTTCCCTCACCAGCGAGCTGTGGATCCATCGATCTTGCCTACAATAACTCAGCACAGCCCCGATGCCATTCACGTCCCCGATGCCAACCCCCCCTAGCCGACACAATCTACCACTACCGGTGCTGCTGCCGCTACCACGACGTTCTTCATCATCATCATCATCAGCATCATCATCAGCATCATTATTAGCTTCGTCAGGATTGCCATCATGTCATCATCATCATCATCACCATCATCATCATCATCATCACCGTCAATGTCATCATGCTTCTCATGACACCTTGCCATGTGTCTTCCAACATGTCCAACTGAACTTAATGATTGTGTAGATTCACGCCCATCAAGTGGCACACAGGCCTATGGCAAGCATGGACCACTCAGGTGTGTGGCTTGCTGCTGGTGAGTGGTTTGCCTGGATTTGAGAATCGATGATTTTCAGAATGCAAAGCTGCTTCTTGTTCTGTTCTGACAGGCTTTGCATTCACCGCTGTAGTTCTGCTGCACCCCCAGGCAAGCCTCGCTGGAACTAACATGTTTCTGATTGACCGGGGTGGTTCGGCTTGCCTCTCCGGCTGTGATTGAGCCAAGCCCGTCTGCAGATGCTGACGTATTTCTACATCTACTACGGTATCACAACGACCATGGCGCCTTCCTCATCAGTGTCAAAGCGACATGGTAGCCTTGTTAGCGGTTAGCCAAGCTAAATTTTCGGAGCAGATCTTCGCGATACACTGGCTTCAACGCTTGCAAGTTCTTTTTTTGCGAGTGTGGGCTTCCTCCATTTTCGCCAAGGTGATGCTGACTTTTGCGCGTGTTTCGATTTTCAGAGCATTCTTGAATTTGATGAAGCAGTCAAAGGCCAGGCTGCAGGGACTCCTTAGCTTCACAGTTTTCGTATGGGCTATTGTCAATATCAGGCTTACTTAGGGACCCACAGCAGTGGACATAGAGTCCCTCACGCAGCTTAGTATAGTCTCCATTAAGGAACCCCTGTCCATTACTTTTCTGTGACATTTTGGCTATAGCTCATATGCTGCAATTTGTCTTGCTGACCGGGCTGACACGCCAAGAATTTGATTGGGCGTCAGAGAATGGCATTGGTATGCATTGTTGCATTTCTGTTTCTGCTCCCGCTGCTTCCACATGACAGGCAGTCCGATTTGTTATTCAGTGGTTTGTGCGAAGAGACATTGCCCATGAGCCTTCCACTTGGCACGATAGCTTGCAACTGCAGAATTCTGCTAAGCTCATCGCATTTCAATATTCACAGCTGATGCCCAGGTGGGTGCATCAGAAGCTCAAGAACCTGCAGAACCAAGGAGTTGTGTTTGGGTCTTACTTTCATATGCATAAAAAGCATTGTCTCATTTTGCGCTCATAGTTTACAAAGAGCTGCCATCTCTGCAGGTACTTCACGAAACGGGCAAGCATGAGCCAGATCAACCGAGCTTTGCAGTACATCGAGCAAAACGAGGAAGCCAGATGGGTCAAGGCTTGGATGGTGGCGCGAGTAGATAGATTTCTGCGGCAAGTTTTCTTTTCTTGCAGGTCATCCATTGCTATACAGACAGGGAGCCGGTTCCGGAGAACCTCCAAGAGTGTTGAGCTCAGCAAAACACTCGAAGCCTGACAGCATGCAAAGCACCTTGCCTCGTCAAAAATTCTTCAGGGTAATGACCTCCCAGCAGACAATTGTGTCAGGGAAAGTCAGTACTCACAAGTGATAACTTTACTCCAAACACGTGACCCACGACACAGATCCCTCAGGCCCAGGTCATCTTACCAGAAGTAGGATGCCGGGCTCGACTGCGGTGTTGAGATCTGCTGGACTTGGCCTGCCTTCATGGGGGCGGGCGTTCCCGGGAATCCTTGGACCACAGAAAGACTGTACTAGACACTGCGCGGAAGAATCGCAAGAAACATGGAAGCCTTTCGAGCTTGTTTCTGGCTTTCTTTCAGTTCTCGTTAGCAAACTTTTCAGGAGTCCTTTCAAAACTGTCTTTACAGCTCTGTTTAACAATCATTGGAAGCAGATGCTTGTTTTTTCGGAACAGCTTTGAAACGTCCAACGGTTTCCCCAAACCTTCATGGACAAATTGAGGAAATCAGAGCCATCTTGCACAGGTACGTCCAGATTTTGGACTGTGTATATCCTCGCCTTCGCGTGGACTGCATTTTGGTGCGGGATGTGCAGGCATGATGGAAGGCAGAGCGTTGTATCAGACATTCTTGGCAGGTGAAAGGCGAGTTTAGCCCAGCGATGGTAATGTATGTATCGAAGCGAATCAATGACTGCGACTCAGCGTCGGCACGTCGGGTTAGTCTTGGCCAAGATGTTGAAATTCGGCTGAGGTCAAAGTCAACTGCATGTTCATCAATTGCCCAAAGCATGATTTTAAGCATCCACTGGACAGAATGGGTGGTGCCATTCTTAGTCTTTAAAGTCTTTTGCTTGAGCGCATGATGAGGGCTTGCCGGAAACCATCGATTTCAAGGTGTTCGCGTCATTCTGAATTCTGAGAAGCCAGACCCGCCTAAACCCCAGCGTGGGCTGCAGATCTTTTGCACCGTGCATGTTGCCAGAGATTTACACGCTATCCTTGGAGGTTTGAGATGGGTGCTGGTGCATACCTAAGAGGACTACTGTGCGGCGTAGTGTGTCTTTAAGAATTTCAATGTTGCTGCAGCAGACATGCGTAGGCTTGAAGGTAAACCTTGAAGATAGCGGTGGTGCCAGTAGGTGCAGCTGCGTCACCAACTTCCTGGGAGTCACCATCTCCATCAGGCGCAGTGCTGGGTTCGTGAAGCTAAAGCGGATAATGCAGATGCGTGCTGCTTGGATGTGAAGATCTGTTTTACTTGGCCTCCGTGGCTTCAGGGCCCAGCGATCGAGCTTACCTTCCTCTGACTAAGTCGGAAGATTCGGTGAAGGACCTGCAAAGCAGCCCTCACAGCCCTGCTAATGCTGTTGGTATTAGTGATTGAAATCATCACTTTGTGATAATTTGTGGCGGTCAAAGCTGCTGCCGTTATATTGGAATGACGAAGTTCATTCGTTTAGATTCTGCTTTCCAAATGGAAGCATGATTCCTCCAGGCGCGGCCCGCAGAAATATTAATTCTTCCCCACCCTCGCACTGGGGTCATTGGGTTTTTAGAATTCTAGTAGTCTTTTTGGTTTCCAGAATATCCTAATATGGAATATTAGAAGTGACCTGCTGCCTACAACAACGGACAATATTTATTTGAGACAACCTATAATGATAAATCCGATAACCAAATAATATATAAGATCGTACCTGAAGCCCGATGAATTATCGATTGAGGTCGCGTAGCGGGGCGCTATTTGACGCTTGCCACTCAGCCACTCAAGGTGATGGTGAAGATGATGGGGAAGATGATGGGGAAGATGATGGGGAAGATGATGGGGAAGATGATGGGGAAGATGATGGGGAAGGTTACGAAGGCGATGAGGAAGATGATGACGGAGATGCAGATGATAATGATGATGCTAGATACATATTAATATATTTCTGAATCTCGGCGTGAATGAGAGGATCCTAAGCTTTAGAGGCAGATTATTTTGATCTCTCAAGCGGCTCAATCTTCTCATTTAGATATTACCATCCTTGGAAGGATCCAATCATATAAGTTAGAAATTTTGATCCTTGGAGGGGCCTAAACTTAAAAGCCGATATTTTGACCCCTGGAGGAGCTCATTCTTGGAAGGCAGGACTTTTGACCTTTCGAGGGTTCTAGGCTTCGAAATAAGATATATTGACTCCCTGGAAGACCCTAATTCTATAAATCAGATTTTTTGAACCCTGGAGGGTCGTAACCTTTCAAACTAGATGATTTGATGAGGGAAAGGCGCAATCTTATAATCTCGATATTTTTTGCTCCTAGAGAGGCCCAACCTTAGAAATAGAGATCAATTTTTGAATTCTATTTTTTTTCTGGAGGGGTCTATCCTCAGAAGTAGGGATCAATCTTAGAAACTACTTGTTCTGATCTTTGGAGAGCCTAAATTTATAAGGCTATAGCGGCGCGTAATATACGCTCTAATATAAAAAAATCAAATATTCAAGCATAAAGCTCATTATTTCTGCTTAGGAGGCAATTTGAAATTTACTCCAAGAATAAGGATCATCCTTCTTCATTGAAATTATTAGGATTGAGCCAAAAATAGGCAAATACATAAAAATACAAGCAAATATCTATATTATAAAATTCTAATAAGAAATCATTTATATTGAATTCGAATTTCTCGGATTTCAAATTATGAATTTATAATTTTTAATATATCCGCGAATATTAATATTTAGATTTTCTATTTCAAAAATCATTTTTATTATATTTTAAGTCTTGGTCAATAGGATATGAAATGATTATTCTTCTTATATAGATTTAATAGGAATAAAAGGAATTGCTCCGATATCATGAAGAGCTAGATCAAAAAAAAAAAAATAAAGGAGAAGAGGAGAGAATTGATAGGAGGCTGGAAAGAAATAAGGCTCTTCTTTATGGAAAATTGGCCGGGGAGAGCTCTTCGGGAAAAGGAATTTTATTTATTTAAATAAGAAAGAATCCTAGATTATATTTATAGGAAGATATCTCGTATCTGAAGAATAATCATCTAATAAAGAAGCTCTTCGGAAATATATTGATACCGAGAGAAGACGCTTTTTTGATATTCCAATAATATATGAAAATAAATTAATTGAATGGATCCTGATTTTTTTTCATCAGCTCCGATTAGATATATCTATGAAATTATGAATATATTTATATATATATTCATATATATGAATGAATATAGAATAATTTATATATGATGAAAATTTTCAGGATTCTCTATATATAAACGCGATATCCTTCAAAAAAATTCAGGAGACTCTGCACGGGAACGCGATTTTCATCAAAATATTTAGGACGTTCCGCACTGGAGCGCGATTTTCATTAAAATTTTCAATATGCTCTACGCAGGAGCGCGATTTTCTTCAAACTTTTCAGGATGCTCCGTACGGCAAAGACTTTCAAGACGTTCCGCACGGGAACGCGACTTTCCTCAAATTTTCAGGACGCTCTATACGGGAGCGCGATTTTTCTCAAAATTTTCAGGATGTTCCGCACGGGAGCGCGATTTTCGTCAAAAATTTGAAGACATTCCATTTGAAAATACGATTTTTCTCAAAATTTCAGGGCGCTCTGCATAGGAACGCGATTTTCATCAAAATTTTGCACGGGAGCGTGATTTTGGACAAAAGAGAACGATCTTGAACGGGTCAAATTGATATAGGATTGGGATAGAAATGATTCCTTAAACGATCAAAAATTGAATGACGAATCCAACGAATCTTATATCAATTCTATTTCAAAACATCTTTCCAAGAATCTCCCTCTTGAGAAGATAAATCGATAAAATTTCGAGGATATCTCGAGTGGGAACGTAATTCTTGAAGATCATATATCAATATTTTCAGGACGCTCCGCAAAAGAGCGCGATTTTCGTCAAAAGAGAATGATCTCGAACGATCAATTTAATATAGAATAGATATAGAAATCATTCTTTAAATGATCGAAATTTGAACGACGAATCCGACGAATCCTATATCAATTCTATTTGAAAAATATCTTTCCAAGAATCTCCTTCTTGAGAAGATAAATCGCTAAAATTTCGAGGATATCTCGAGTGGGAACGTAATTCTTGAAGATCATATATCAATATTTTCAGGACGCTCCGCAAAGGAACGCGATTTTCGTCAAAAGAGAATGATCTCGAACGATCATTTTAATATAGAATAGATATAGAAATCGTTCTTTAAATGATCGAAATTTGAACGACGAATCCGACGAATCCTATATCAATTCTATTTCAAAATATCTTTCCAAGAATCTCCTTCTTGAGAAGATAAATCGATGAAATTTCGAGGATATCTCGAGTAAGAACGCGATTTTTGAAGATATGAAGATATTCAGAGGCTCCGAAAAAGTCAATTATCTCGCGCGAGAGCGCAATTTTTGATATTTTATAAAATCGAAAAACGATTTTTTGAGGATATCTCGAACGAACGCGCGATTTTTGAAAATCAGGTAGTCGTCCAATTCGTTTCGTTCCCTCCCTAGAAGACTAATTTAAAGGCAATCTGGTCTCTCAGCTAGATCTATCATAGATATAAAAACGTTCATTTCTTGAGATTATCTCAATCAAGAACGCGATTTTTGAAGATACGAAGATATTCAGAGATTCAAAAAAAATAAATTATCTCGTACGAGATCATAATTTCGGATATTTTATAAGTCCGAAAAACGCGATTTTTGGAGGATATCAGGGATTCGCCCAATTCATTTCAATCTCCTCCTAGCAAGATTAATTTAAAGATAATCTGATCTCTCAGCTAGATCTATCATAGATATCAAAATATTCGTTTTTTTGAGGAGATCTCGAGCAGAGCGCGATTCATTGAAAATCCGGAGCGCGTCCAAAATATTTGCGTGACGGAAGAGCACGCTGCGGGCGCCGGGCGACCATATATCGAAAGAATTAGAATCCCATATTAGATAGAGGGAATAATCAAATTATAAATATCTCAATAATACGACGCGATTTCTTACGATCATTTCGTTCGCACGGGACCTAGATTTTCCGTCTCCCCATCAAAATATCTCGTGCGGGCTCCCTAGGGACTCGAAAATCTCGGAGATTTTGGAATCCTTCGGAAAAGAAAACTAGAAGCTCTAAAATCTTCGAGATGCGGGCAGGATAATCAAAATTCTCGGAGATTTTTGGTCATGCGGCCCTTGCCTCCGGAGCGGTCTTCCGCGAAATTTATATTTCTTTTTCTGCCTGCGCGGCTGCTCAATAGAACTCATAGACCCGAGACAGAGAATCAAAATCTTTCAGAATTAGATTATCCATATCTATCCATAGGGATTTATACGCTTCCCTGAACCGTCGCCCTGAGATAATCCAAGAGAGAGAAATGATACGGAAAGACCGGACTGGATACGGGGATCGCGCGATCAAAAATCTCCGGAGATTTCGAATCATTTCTCTCTCTTTGATTATCTGCGCGGCGGCTCGGCCGAACATATAGATCCGAAACGGAAATCCAAAATCTTTCAGCTTGCCTCCGGAGCAATCTTCCGCATGATTTATCTCTCTTTGGCCGTCTCCACAGCTGCTCGACAGAATACATAGATCCGGAATAGAGAATCAGATCCTTTCAAAATTTATAGATTGATAATATTTATCTATAGAGATTTATATCCTCCCTTGAGTCCCCCGGCAGATAGCCCAAGAAAGATAAATGAGATAGAAAATTGGGCCGGATATGGAGAGCGCAGGATCAATAATTCCCGAGATTTAGAATCATATCTCTCTCTTCGACTATTTGCGCGGCGGCTTGACGAAATCATATAGATACGAGGCGGAGATCCAAAATCTTTCAGCTTGCCTCCGGAACGGTCTTCCGCGTAATTTATTTCTATTGAGATATCTGAATGGCTGCTTGACGTAGGGCATAGATCCGCAAGAGAGAATCAAAATTTTTCAGAATTAAAAGATAGATAAAATCTATTTAAGGAGATTCTGCGAGGTGCGGAAAGTTCGACCCACCCGAAG